GTACTGTATATAAAAGCCATCTCAATTTTTAAATAAAATATTACATGACCACATGAAAGCAAAAAAGATTGTTCTTTTACAATAGAAAAGTCCATTGTAGATCAAATCTTCTGCATCTAATGTATAACACACTGTTTTAACACACACCTTGTAATCTAATATTGATCAGTCTTTTCATTGCATCATTAAAGAACCAATTCATGAGCCGAGGGAGAACACATGTCATCAATCTACGTCTATAAATCCAGGATGGATTTTTCCATTGTAAAAGAGTAATCTTTTTTGCTATGCTCCATGACCAATAAATCCATTGGTTTTCATAAACAGTATTGATCAATTCCAAAATGCTGGTCTATAATTCAAAATAACATATATTTAAATCATAATACTCTTCCCAGCATTATTTTTATTCATTTTATTTATCAAATTTATATAACATTATATTAGCAAACTTATAGATATTAAACCAAAACAGAAAAGTAGTGGGAAAACCTATGTCATATGTTTAAGTGTCTCCTCTACCATTTTTTGCTTTGAGCATAACAAAGCTGATAGTCAGCCTTTTTTAAACATTCTGTGAGGTCTCCAATAAACATGGGGGGGAAACTGTAGAATTAGTCTTAAGATACTAAGAAACAATGTTCTTTAAGACCCTTAGCTATTGATTAGCTAATATGGAATACTGTAACTTTTTATTCTGAAATTCTTTCAAGCAACTGTCATGAACCTTAGTACTCTTCAATTGTCTATAAAATACTGTAGATTTATAATAATCAAAAACATTTCACTGTTGATAGTAATTCAGGAGTTTTAGTTGCTAATGCATCCGAGCCAAATTGTGAAATCAAAAGATAGGTCTTTAGAGATAAATGTCATTTTAAACATATAGTTGCTGAGTAGTTTACTGTTTGCATTTTAATAACTATGGAAGATAGAAAGAGCACGGAAAGAGGAGGGAAGTTCAGTAAGGTTGGAATAATATTATCTTAGCAGGTGAAGACCTATATGTATTGGTTTCTTTATTGCAGTATTTAGAAAAAACAGAGATCTTGCCCAGAGTTTGCTTTTATTTTTTTAGTACTGATTATTTAATTGTATTGTCGAAGGCTTTCACAGCCGGAATACGATGGCTGGTGTGGGTCTTCCGGGCTG